AGTGACATAACCGGTGTTGCGGCTTAACACCGGTATCACCGTCAGCACCGTCTATCGCGGCAAGCCTAATGGCCAGGTGATGGAGGCATGATTGGTTGCCGGAGGTTGGGGTTGAAAGAATAAAGATGTTTAATTGAAATCTCAAATCCATCTCAATCTCTCAGATCAAGTTCATCAGTACTTAATAAATGAATGTTTACACAACAATAATAATAACTATTGTTTAATACATGAGTGAAATATTTCACATGCCTCAGGGCTCCAGACTGCGACTAAAACGGTCGCATTTGTGACGCATGCTAAAGTGTTAAATATTCTTTGAGCAAAACAGTAATAAAATGTATTGTACCAGTCCACAGCCTAAGCAAATGCTCCACTCTGTTTCACAATGGTAACTATAGTATAATTTAAACGGTTCTAATAATTCCAACTAGGGATGCTCTGATCGATTGGCCGGAGATCGGTATTGGCCGATAATCACATTTTATGACGCGATCGGTACTCACTACACTTGGCCGATCTCACGAACCGATTGCAATTTGATGACGTCAATGCGTGACCACGTACATGATGCGTGGGGACATAAAGATGTGGCGCCGCAGTCATGTCATCGCCGGTGTGGAAATGCTATGACGTTTCAAGAAACAATGAAAAATTAGCTGTTTGTCGTGTATGTTTTGCATGATGATATGATGAATGGATGGTTCATTTTTAACAGCAGATTCAGTGACGTTAGAGCTGATCTGCGCCTCACTGCACACGTCTGTGGCATGTTACGGCTACACGGCCACCGGAGCTGATATTAGCCTACTCGATAGCATTAACACAGGCTTTACTCCTTTCAAACTTTATCTGGAATGTCACCGTTTCTGTCACTGCAACTTCCCGATCAGGTGAACGAACGAACACACACACACGAAATCATCTGCCTCATGAAAATAATGTAGTTAATATTTGCTTCATTTATGATTTATTTTATCCGCCCGTGACCCACCTGCAAATAATCAGAATGATTATTATTATTATAATGATTTTTTTATTACCCCACCCGTGGATATAGGAGAAGCAAAATATGTTTGCTGCGTAAATCAGACGGACTTACTGAAAATACAAATTAATTCTCTGCCAGCAGGAGGTGCTTTAAAGCGGGAGAAACAGGTTTCCCCACTAACGGCTGTACACAGAGCAGCGCTGAGCTCACAAACGCTGCTTTATCAGGCATATAACATGCAAGATGAAATGAAAATTACATCAAAAATTTTTATTTTATCAAAATGATTTTTAAACGTGCAGTACATGCTCATGTTTATTCAACGAAGCCTTTTGGAAAATCGGTCAGTTTTGATATTGTGGCGAGCGCCACAAATAAATAAATGTATGGGAAACACATCCCACAGCACAACCACCTGAGCCCAACTTCAGTCTTCTCATCACCTTAACTTTAACTGCGTTTGTAGCCGGCGCCATAGCCAGACTGATAAACAAACACAGACCGGAAGTTAACTTCGGGCCAGGCACGTGCGCCCGATGAAACCGTCTATATAAAGCATGAAGCATCAGAATTGGTATCGGCCGATCACCATGAAAAGAAATCGGTACTCTGTATCGGCTGCAAAAATTTAAAAATGTTGCATGTAATAGCTTTTTTTCTGATTGTTTTGCGATCACATCTTTTATGTTGACGTAATAAACTGAGACGATGTGCATACATTTTAGTGGAAAAAAGACTTTCAAACCGTCCTCATCTCTGCTGAACAGCAGCGCTGACGGCACACCTGATAAACGCAGCTCAGTTGAGCAGCATGAGAGAGCGGAGACGTGTGAAGTAAAAGTGCAGAAAAGCAGTGTCCATTTCGTGCACCGCTTGAACAAACTACAACAGGTAAAGCTATCAGCTGTGTAGACATTAACTATCGTTAACAATTCTCGTTTATAATCGATACTAATATGGCTTCTTGTTGATCTGGCCTTTGCGTAGTCCCATTGATTGCATTTAACTACCTGTAACCTTTCCTCCCTTTACAATACACCAGCCAGCTAAAAAGATTACATTTTTTGAGGTGTAGATTGAGAGGAAGCTGGCATTTAACCAGTGAAGCAGCAGTTTTTCCTTAATGAAATGTTTGTGTCAGTAAATGCCGATAACCCAAAGTAAAAGATGACTGCTTTCACTTTCATTACACCTTCTGTCTTATCATGTGACTTTTAGTTTGTGTGTGTGTGTGTGTGTGTAGAGCTGGTTTGCATGATGTTACGTTTAACGGCTGTTAACGACTTTTGGAGATTTCAGTGTTCTGGATAGCATTTTATATATAAAAAAAGTGAAACTGAGTGGAAAAAATATATAAATGTAGTTGTGAACAATACCACATTATTGTTATAATTCTCAGTGTGCAGTGAATCTAATTGTGTATGGACATGATGAGGTGACCCTGTTGCTTCTACTGTGCTGTCTTGGCATAAGCCCTTACACCACATAAATTATGAATGGAGCCCCATGTGGCTCACGGTAGATTGCCGCACCCCCTCCCCTTACTGTCACTTCACCATCTACACTGACATCGGCATGGCAACATGATGTGCTTCATCGATTTGAACCATTGGTATTCAAAGATGTAGAGTTCTGACTGCCTTTGCAGTCCATCTCCTTCAAAGACACGCAAGTTGTAATAGACAGATATAATGGCTAGTCAAACTTGCTGGTCAATGTTTTGGAAGTGTATATATGTAATAAATTCAGCACATAAGATTCTGCCTTAACCTGGAAGTAGGAAAGTCTGATAAAAGCCTGATTGTGCATTTAATGATTTCTCTGCAAGTTTGGTGCATGGCCTTGAATAAACCTTCCAGTTTGAACCACTGAATCTAATTTAGTAATGTTTGTGAAACGAGTATAAAGGCTATCATTCGCATACGTTGTATTCGGGGAGGGTTGCTTGCTCACATGCACATTTGTCTGTTTGTCTCTGTAGTTGCTCAACAATGGCTCCTGGTGTTGCGTTGTAGCCTGCTCTTAAGCCTGACAGGAAATACTGCTTAAAATGCTTAAGAGGTGCAGGTGGAATATTAGAGAAAGTATCTGGTTTACCATCTGCTCACTGAATATTTTATTTCTTGGGCTCTTCGAAGGGGCTGGTTCTGAGGGGTGAGGCCGCAGGACCAGACTCAATGAGTTTCCAGCGAAATGTCCGAGAAGTCAGGGCAGAGCACCAAGGCAAAGGATGGCAAGACCAAGTATGCAACCCTTAGCCTCTTCAACACGTACAAGGGCAAGTCTCTGGAGACCCAGAAAACTGCAGGTGAGTCAACTGACCATTCTTACAAACAAGCTGTTGTTAATTATGGAGTTCCCTGTGGTGGGGTGAATCTCTCAAAAGCTGTCAAGAACATGTTCAGGTTACATTTCACCTCAAAACCTAAAATTGCTAACTGCTTTTTGCATAAAGACGATGAAGCAAACAGAAAAATGCTTACATTAAACTTAATTCAATAACTTTTAATACAGACAGTCTACACAGTCACATTTCGTGACTTACACATGACTTGGGTAACTTCTAATGATTTGCTCTCTTAACTGTTAAAATGAGAATGGTTCATTGAGTAGAGTGTCAAGTGTTGCACTGCAGTCTTTTAACTGTCGTTCATTGAGCTCCCCGATCAGCGTCCTTTGCATCGCTGGATCAAATAAGCAGCCTTTGTCCACTCAGTTACTGCTGTGCATTCCTGTGAGCTTAAAGATAGAGAGAGACTGCCCAAGAACATTTGTTGTAAGATTACTGCTCATATTAACAATATTCCTGTACAAATGATGTTCATTTTATTGCATATTATTGCTCTTTTGTTGGTTTTGATTGCTTCTATTGTCATCATTTGTAAGTCGCTTTGGATAAAAGCATCTACTAAATGTAAATGACTTTTGGTCAAAAAACTGAAATTTCTTTCTTTTCTTCCACTTAGTTGCTGCCAGACATGGGCTCCAAAGTTTGGGCAAAGTTGCGGTCAGTCGACGCATGCCCCCCCCAGCTAACCTGCCCAGCCTAAAAGCTGAGAACAAAGGCAACGATCCCAACGTTAGCATCGTACCCAAGGACGGCAGCGGATGGGCCTCCAGACAGGATCAACCAGGAGACGAACGGTAAAACTCCACCCTATTAAATGATAGGTGTAGTTCCTGTTGAAAGATCAGTTTTAGATGTTCCAAACATACTCTTTCACATCGTCTTGCATGTTTTGCAGTCATTAGATTCTTATGTTCCACTGGCACTTTTTTTAATTTTTTTTTTTATGATTGTAGGCAACAAGAGACCCCTCCACCACAGCCTAAGCCAACTGTGCCCCAGACCTCTGATGTCCCTCTGGGAGGCAGCCGCTCCTGGGCCAACAGCAAACAGTCTGGGCAGCTGGACGGTAAGCCGTTTCCTTTGTAAACCTTTTCTTTGTTGTTCACTCTCAAAATGCTACTCGGTGAACTGTAAATCCTTATCTAAACAAATTTAAGCCACAGATTTATCTTAATTATCATGAATTTTGAACTGCTGAAGTCAAGTGCTTAAGTGTCACTGTGTCTACAGGAGCTCCTCGGATGAGCAGTCAGTTCCATCAGGAGTTTCCGAGTCTGCAGGCGGCGGGTGAGGAGGAGAAATCAGGCGATCAGGAAGATGAACCCTATGGGCCGGGCCCCAGCCTCAGGCCTCAGAGTACGACCATCATCCTTCATCTTTTCTTATGAGCTGTTTAACATATTGGTTGCAACTGTTTAGGGAAAAAAAGATATTCAGCAATTTCTTAACGAGAGTTCTAAAATATAATTATCACCTTCACTCTGGCCTTTTATCTCCATTCCCTACTCAGATGTGGGTAGCTGGCGGGAAGGTGGAGGCAAGAACTTAAACGTTGCTCCCAGCCCCTCAGAGACCGATGGTAAGCCCTCTGAGGAGTCAGGCGTGGGTCGAGGCACACCATCTCCCTCTGTGGACTCCGATGAGGCAGGGAAACCCTCTGCTGGGGAGGGCAGAGAAAAGAGAGATGCCAGAGACAGGCTCCCACCTACTGCCCCTCAGCATAAACTTAATGGTGGCCAGCCAACGGCAAGAGGAATGTCATCTCAGTTCCATGCTGCTCAGTTCAGGAGCATGATGCCACCATATGTGAGTGATTTAGCCATTGTTTATAATTTAATCTACCTTCTGAAATGTGACATGCTGCTATGTATTGTTTTGTTTGGTACTGATTTTGTGAAGTGTATTTGGCAGTACTATTTTAATGTGTGCTTTATCTTTTCAGATGTTCAATGCTTACCCTCGAGGGCCCTTTCCTCCTGTACAAGGCAGCTTAAGGTACCCTGGACAACAGGAGATGTCTAAGTAAGTGATCCCATAAGGTTTGAACTTAAATGGCTTTAGATCTAGAAGCTAAGGTTGAAAGACAGTGTTACTTTGTCCTTTCTTTTGTTGCCATGAATAATTTATTTAGATGAATCTGAAGTATTTACGCTACACGGTGCTTTCTAAAGTTGAAGTTACAGTTCTAACTAGTTATTGGCCTTAATTTGTCTGAAGGGTTAAAAGTTAAAGTGGAAGCAGTTGAAAGTTACATTTTATTTATTAAGACAAGCAATCTGGTATTTTGGAATACTTCCAGGACATTAGGAGCTTTGTGAAGTCTAGCTTTTCCCCCTCATATTTCTCTCTTTTCTCCACTTAGGGGTCCACGGTCTGGTCTAAGACCCTCCCAGCCTCCCTCTCAGTCATGGCTGCAGGATCCAGACAGGCCATCAATTGTTAGTGCCACTGAACTAAAAGAGCTAGACAATCTGGACACTGATGCTGATGAGGGTTGGGCAGGTGAGAGTGACAGTTGAATGATTTTTTTTGTTGTTGTTTTTTTCCCCGATTCATGGTTTACAGAAGGGTTGGGTGGTAAAGAATGTACATTGTAGGCTTCCCAAGGTAGTTGGTGTTATCAGTATTACATGGTGGTCGGCCATACACCATTTAAATAGCTACGTTCACACTGTCAGTATTTGGGATTGACAACCGCATTTACTTACAGGTGTGAGTCTCGAAATGTCCCGTTCACGCAGCAGCTTACAGTTGCGTTTGGAATACTGTCTGTATAAACGTGCAACGGGAGTCAAGCCCGTATTCCTTACCAGTAACTAGGGGTGCTCCGATCAGGATTTTTGAGGCCGAGCAGCTTTCACACAGGAGTCCGCTACTGATCCGTGGCTGTTTACCACAAACACAACATTTATCCATTAATTTGATTTCAAATTTAAACATAGTCACTGAAAATGCTTTTTCAGCATTGCAATTCTTTTTTTTTACACAGTACAGTAACACACAGACATGTTTAAACACAATAAATAAAAACAACACATTATTCAATGCTTTTTACTTTTGCGTTTACTTCTAGATTTATATATTAAGTTGCTCAAGGAAGTGGAAAAACATTTAAACTACTTATCTTATGTTATCACAAACTTACCATTGACAGGAATAGTCAGCTCTACTGCCTTTTCTTTTGAATGCATTTATGGTGTAATTACTACATTTTAGTGTCAATCCATGTTCATATTTACTGCAAACGATGCGCTGTTACTTTAATTCAGGCTTGCAGTGCAGCAAAAATGGACTCGGTGCGGAAACGATCTGCACTGCTGCAGACGCACCGCTCCTGGAACGCATTGCCTGACTGCAACCGTGTGCACGCTTTATTAATCCGTTAACATGAGCGCGTAAAAAATACGCACCATGTATGCACTGCAAACGGAGTAATGTGAACCTGCACGGTCTCCAGGAGCGAGCGCACGGTCTCCAGGAGCTCCAGGAGCGGGCGCGAGCGCACGGTCTCCAGGAGCGCGCGCGAGCGCTGAATGGTTAAACACTGGCAAGAATTAAAAAGAAATGCAATTTCTAAACTTTAGTGACGATGTGAGCCTGCCTCGATTGTGCAAGTGACAATTCCTGTCTCAACTGTGCAGCCTGCAGCTCTCTTATTTTGTGAAATTACGTCTCACAAGGTTTTCAAATGACTTTATAAGTTATTTAATGAAGAAATATGAAGGTGAGTACCTCACGTTCAGCATTATAATTATTTTACCCATGCCGGACAGAGACTGAGACGTGCCACTGCATGTCGTGCCAAACCTCTCACGGCAGGCTCGTCATCAGCTTGAAATCGTTTTTTTGAGATCTGCCTTTTTAGAGACCGCCGATCAATCATCCCAAAAAATTTGGGTAGAGAGCGGAGCATATTTGAGTCGCGCGCAGAACACAAAACTGATGGTAGCAGCTTCGATGGAAAACTGACTGGATCTAAAACTTTCACATTACACAGATCATTTCTCCGTCACTGTAAGTTACCGAAACCACACATGAAAACTCGTTACACACGTTAGATATGCGTTTGTGTGGCAGAGTGACTCTCTTGCCCTGTATGATGTGACAGACAACTAGTTGTCCAGTCCTGTTCCGTTCACACAGCGCGTGTGTTCAGAGAATGCGGTTGTGAATCCTGAAAGTTTACAGGTGTGATTTCGGCTACAGAATGCGGTTGTCACACCCATAAATAACCGTACTGTGTGTGAACGTAACCGTTTTAAGGAATCAAAAACAGGACTGACAACCGTATTCTGCTGCTGTGTGAATGTGGCCAATGACTTGGCCACCATTGTTCTGCTTTTTTTTTTATTTTTTTTTTTATTTATTTTTTTTATGGAAATAAAAGGTATTTTGTTTAGTTAAACAATAGACATTAAAATTATAAACTGAAAGCTTTTGTTTTATTAAATTGTGGCCTCATACTAATTCATTCCCTCATTTAAATTTACTTAAGTCGTAGGAACAAATTCTTAAATTATGTTTAAGTGAGTTTGTCATTGTACTGTTTTATTGTTGTTGTGAGTAATAATTAAGCATAATAATGAATTTATAATTTTCAAGAATTCAATATTCGAAAGCTGTAAAGATCTTCCTCGTGGCAATCCCTAGTACAGTGCAACAGTAGAAATCGTCAATTGGTTGAGGTTTCTGCACCATTTACATTGTAAAATATGTTCATTTTTTCACTAAGTACTTATTCATAATAAGTACTTATTCATTTTATGAATACTTTTATATTCAGTAGGTCATGGAAGCAAATCAGAAGATAACGATTAATCGGATAAAGCGATTATAAAGTTTATAATAAATTGGGTTATTAGCTATTTCCACATTTCATTTTATATTTAAATCATTTGTTAATTGAGTCACCATTTTTGTTGTTATTTAGGTGCTCAAATGGAAGTTGACTATACTGAGAAACTGAACTTTAGTGATGATGAGGAGAACCATTCGGCTAAGGAGAAAGGCAATAACTGGTAAGCACTCATCTTTGTGACTTATTTTATAACATTTTTTGGGAGTAGTAAACATTGGCCCTATAAAACTCTTTCTTGCTGAAACACAGGGAGTGGATGACTAAAGTTGATCGCATGCGGTCAAGAAACACTGGTGTTCAGGAGGGATGGAAGGAAGGAGAAGAGGAGAGGCGTGACCGCAAGAGCTCATGGCCTGAAAGTGGAGACCCCAGAGCTCCCTCCCCTGGCAATATTGTCCATTATAGCAAGACGGTTCCTCCACAAGAACAACAGGTATGGTGTGCACTAGAACAATCGACCCTTCACAAAGAGCTTGATTGACAGGCAATCTGACCATTCATAACGCCGAATCAGCCATCTTGGTTGACAAACAAATCACACAGGAGAGTAAGATTAAATTTGGTGGCTTTAAACTTTAAAAATTGGTGTGTATTGACTAGGCATGGGCCGGTATGAGATTTTGACGGTATGATAATCTTAAGCAAACATATCACGGTATTGTCATTACAGCTCTAAAATGTGTTATTTTTAAATGACTGGGTAAAAAAAAAAAAATAAATTCCGCTGAACACAATATATTTTGTTTTTGAGCAACATACAGAATATTAGGAACAGTAGAATGTGTTTATTTTTTCTTTGATTTGTTTCCTAAAAAGATGAAAAATAAAGACTGACATCTTTAACCTAAATCTGTAATTAGTTATTTAATTTTAGTTATATAATTCATATACATATCAATGTATGCACTGTATGCACTGCAAACGGAGTAATGTGAACCTGGCATTATGTGTGTGCGCTGCGAGTGTGACGGTCTCCACGCGCGAGCGCTGAATGGTTAAACACTGGCAAGAATTAAAAAGAAATGCAATTTCTAAACTTTAGTGACGATGTGAGCCTGCCTCGATTGTGCAAGTGACAATTCCTGTCTCAACTGTGCAGCCTGCAGCTCTCTTATTGACAGACGCGATGTGGTGATTTGAAGCCATTTGCGTATTTTGAGAGAGAAAGAGAGAGCGCGCGCGGTGATTCACTCACGTTGTTTGTGAAATTACGTCTCACAAGGTTTTCAAATGACTTTATAAGTTATTTAATGAAGAAATATGAAGGTGAGTACCTCACGTTCAGCATTATAATTATTTTACCCATGCCGGACAGAGACTGAGACGTGCCACTGCATGTCGTGCCAAACCTCTCACGGCAGGCTCGTCATCAGCTTGAAATCGTTTTTTTGAGATCTGCCTTTTTAGAGACCGCCGATCAATCATCCCAAAAAATTTGGGTAGAGAGCGGAGCATATTTGAGTCGCGCGCAGAACACAAAACTGATGGTAGCAGCTTCGATGGAAAACTGACTGGATCTAAAACTTTCACATTACACAGATCATTTCTCCGTCACTGTAAGTTACCGAAACCACACATGAAAACTCGTTACACACGTTAGATATGCGTTTGTGTGGCAGAGTGACTCTCTTGCCCTGTATGATGTGACAGACAACTAGTTGTCCAGTCCTGTTCCGTTCACACAGCGCGTGTGTTCAGAGAATGCGGTTGTGAATCCTGAAAGTTTACAGGTGTGATTTCGGCTACAGAATGCGGTTGTCACACCCATAAATAACCGTACTGTGTGTGAACGTAACCGTTTTAAGGAATCAAAAACAGGACTGACAACCGTATTCTGCTGCTGTGTGAATGTGGCCAATGACTTGGCCACCATTGTTCTGCTTTTTTTTTTATTTTTTTTTTTATTTATTTTTTTTATGGAAATAAAAGGTATTTTGTTTAGTTAAACAATAGACATTAAAATTATAAACTGAAAGCTTTTGTTTTATTAAATTGTGGCCTCATACTAATTCATTCCCTCATTTAAATTTACTTAAGTCGTAGGAACAAATTCTTAAATTATGTTTAAGTGAGTTTGTCATTGTACTGTTTTATTGTTGTTGTGAGTAATAATTAAGCATAATAATGAATTTATAATTTTCAAGAATTCAATATTCGAAAGCTGTAAAGATCTTCCTCGTGGCAATCCCTAGTACAGTGCAACAGTAGAAATCGTCAATTGGTTGAGGTTTCTGCACCATTTACATTGTAAAATATGTTCATTTTTTCACTAAGTACTTATTCATAATAAGTACTTATTCATTTTATGAATACTTTTATATTCAGTAGGTCATGGAAGCAAATCAGAAGATAACGATTAATCGGATAAAGCGATTATAAAGTTTATAATAAATTGGGTTATTAGCTATTTCCACATTTCATTTTATATTTAAATCATTTGTTAATTGAGTCACCATTTTTGTTGTTATTTAGGTGCTCAAATGGAAGTTGACTATACTGAGAAACTGAACTTTAGTGATGATGAGGAGAACCATTCGGCTAAGGAGAAAGGCAATAACTGGTAAGCACTCATCTTTGTGACTTATTTTATAACATTTTTTGGGAGTAGTAAACATTGGCCCTATAAAACTCTTTCTTGCTGAAACACAGGGAGTGGATGACTAAAGTTGATCGCATGCGGTCAAGAAACACTGGTGTTCAGGAGGGATGGAAGGAAGGAGAAGAGGAGAGGCGTGACCGCAAGAGCTCATGGCCTGAAAGTGGAGACCCCAGAGCTCCCTCCCCTGGCAATATTGTCCATTATAGCAAGACGGTTCCTCCACAAGAACAACAGGTATGGTGTGCACTAGAACAATCGACCCTTCACAAAGAGCTTGATTGACAGGCAATCTGACCATTCATAACGCCGAATCAGCCATCTTGGTTGACAAACAAATCACACAGGAGAGTAAGATTAAATTTGGTGGCTTTAAACTTTAAAAATTGGTGTGTATTGACTAGGCATGGGCCGGTATGAGATTTTGACGGTATGA